AAATCTGTTTAACAATTGACACTCTGTAAAGCGCTCTTTACCCAAGTGCCAGAACAGAAATTTGGTTCACATGCACAGCTCACTCTGACTTGTTGAATTTGAAGCCCCACAGGATGCCTCAAACAACCCTGAGGATTGTAGATAAAATAAACTGCACGATCAGCACACATTCATGGAACATCTGAAATCTCTCCTAAGTGAAGCGAACTCAACCTGGTTTCGTAGCGGACACCAGGGTCTTTCCCGGCCTCCGCCAACTGCCGCCGGAGCCGTGACACATCGCCCAGCTCGGCTGCCCGCAAGAAGGCTGCAGGAGATGGGCCTTGCTCCTCCAGGAAGAACCACCGATGGATGCGTTCTTGCACCCGAGATGGATGCGTTCTTGAGTCCATGAAGGGCTGGTGCTCGTCCAAGAGTATGTTGGTCTTTGAGATCAATGGGCTGCCCTCGTCTACCTACATCCCAGATCATAGGTCTTTGAGATCAATCGTGAGCTTTGAGTGCATTAGAGATCAACGTCAGTGCAGGCTTGTTTTGGTATCCTCTCCAAAGGCTACCTTCAAGTAAGCAAGGCCTGACTGGTGCAAAAAAACAGTCAAAGACAAGTGAACGCTGAATGAAAAAACACTGTTAGAAGGAACACAAGCAAACCTCAAAGGATAAAGGTACTGATGAAGAACGTGAGAACATGTGATTTCTAGAGACAAAATGCAGAAACCGTGGATTCTGTCCTTTAGTGCAGCAAATGTTGGATTTGTGCAGTCGATTCTAGGGTCAAGCTGTTAGGACTCTTGGGAGTTTGCTGCTCTCAAGTAAAGATTAATCAAAGTTAAACCCGAATCAGAGTCACAAAGAATGCGGATGAATGCGGATTGACGAGGATCATCAAAAGGACCAAGTCAGTTTGAAAGCTGAGAGATTCACAACAATGCACATTGACATACGTGGATATACATGGTACGTCTATAGCCTTCCAGGTCGTGAAGTCAATTTAGTTTGATTTGCCGTTGGATCTCAGAATACAAGGAACGTGCAGCGCATTGAGACACTTGCTCAATTCCCATGCTTGCTTCTCCTCTTCCACTAGCTTTCCAACAATAGGGTACTTGCTCTTGAAGGACATGACCTTCAGCACACAAGTGCAGTACAAGTGCGGGCATAGTAGATTGAAACATGCTCATCCCAGATGTCTCAACTTGAGGGGTCTTGTCAAAGCCCCAGCAACTACCTAAGCCTACTCTTCTTTTCACAAAGAACCAATGCCAATCAGTGTGTTTACGCATGCAAAAGAACGTCTCCAGAGACAAGTGAGTGGTGAGGAATCAGTCACCAACAACAAAGTATCCAAACAAGTCCGCAAAAAAAAAACGCAAGCTTTCACAAAATGCAAGTCCATTACGTCCGTCGTCCAACATCCCAAAGCTTCGTTCCGCAAAAAAACAACAACAAAAAAGAACTCCGTCGTCCGCCGTGGTTGGGGCCAAGTGGCCCAAGCGGACAAAAAGGCCTTCTCTGCCAGGTTCAATGGCATTTCTCGCGATGCGTCGGATTCCTGGGGCTCTTTGGCTTCCAGCGACCAACGTGAGTTCTTGGGTGCGTCGCGGCGGAATTTCAAGAAAGGGGGTCGCGGAGGGGAATCGCAGGGGAATCGACATGGTCTGGAGGTAGATTCGCCTCTGGATGGTGGTGAACTTGCGCAGAATCCCTAAGATGAGCAGTACGTTGGTTGTAAACAACTGTGGACCAAATGATGCCATACAACCATGGAAATCAACATGTTTTCAACATTGTTGTATCGGTTTGGGAACACACGGCAAACCCAACCTCTTCCAGGGAGTTCTTGCCCAATAGCCGCGAAGCATCTCGCCCTGCCAGTGGAGCATATTTGCCCCCAGGGCCATAGAGATTCCTGGCGAACACCAATGTCTCAGAATGCTTGAAGTATTCAATTGTAGTGATGGCTCAAGTCAACGTGCTGCGATTTCGTGGTCTCAATACTAATGCATCTACACTGCCTGGGACAAATCTTGAAACATGGAAGCAAATAGGTTTTTCAGACCAGCACTTAAATGGATTTGAAAGACATCAACACAATCATCTCAAAGTTCCGAACCACGAGCCTGTCAAAGCCCAGCAAAGGAGCATGTTGCCAAATATATTGGTACGGGGTGGACATTTACAGAAACCACGTCACTGGGGGGTTCTCTTCCTTGGTCACTGTCCCTTCCAGCCTAGCGGCCTAGCAGATGAAACATCAAAGACGAGGCCATCAGCTGCCAAGAGGATGTTTCCACCATCCGTGCCTGGGCACATGGATTGGAGAAACTCTAAAAGAGCAACGTCATCTTGGCAACAATAGGTAATAAACATGTAATATATATATATATCAAACTCCCTTTAAATCTCCAAATCAGTCGCTTCAAACAACCACCACGCATCAATGTCACTCAGCCCGCCGATGTTCTCATCAGAAATTGCAATTACAAAAGTGGATTGGGATCACCCTTATATATATAACTACTGTATATATTGTTGCTTCATGTTCTCCATTTGTGCAGTGGAACATAGTGGAACTTTAAATTCCGAAGAACTCCAACTCCAACTCAGAGCCTCATCAGATCCCAAGAAAAGGGATGTGCATTACTACTAGTAGCAAATAGCTACTAGTAGCTTCTAGCTTCTATTCCTTTTACTAGTAGTTTCTATTCCTTTTTCGTCCCTCATTCGCAAAGTCCCAAGCTCCTTTGAAGTCCTTCAGCTCCTCTTCTCGCCACGTCCTCGCGTCTACTCCGCCCAGGGAAGCCGTGGACGAACCTGAGTCGTTGCTCCGATCCAGTACATCAGCCGATTTTGTGGATCTGAAAAAGAAGAAAAACTGTGGCGAGTCCTAGTTGGTAGTTTCAACCCACCAGATGTTCATTTCATATGCTATTTTGGAGACAATGATGGATAAAGTGCCCCAGATCAAAGTTGAGACACAAATGGATTGAAATGCACCAACCAGTTATGTTGTTGCAGTCCTAGTGTGCACTTGCAACTAGTTTAACACCTGATTGCAAGGGACTTGTATGTGGCCAGGTCAGAATAAGCTCAGGTGGGGAAGAGGTGTTGACTTACAATGCAAGCATCAACTCTTGCTGACTGATATAACACTCTCCAAATAAGGCCGTTATTGGTTTCGTTCTTCAAAAATATGTCAAACCAAATCATACCAAATCACTGGATCTTCCCGACTCAACAAATGATTAAATGTTAAGATGTGGCTTTTCTCCGTGGAGAAGAATCACTCTGGACAACGGGCCTTTTCATGCCTCGTCGCGGCCGAGGCATGTAACAAGGTACACGGCACGGCATCATATCCATCCAGTTGCTCCTAGTAGCGTTCTTGTTCCTAGTAGTAAGGCCAGGAGCCCCTAGTAGCGTCCTTGCTCCTAGTAGCGATGCCCTTTCTCCTACTAGCGTTCTTGTTCCACATCCCAAGCCCTTCACCGCCCTCCACGCACCTTGCCGCGCCAGCCCAACGGCCAGCCCAACGGCAGCCGCGGCCGCAAGGCTGGCAGGTAGGGCACTGCCCAGCTCCAAGCCTTCCGGGCCTGCACACCCTCCGAACCGGGTGACACCGGACCCTCCGAACTCCCGGATTCATCGAACTGGGGATGAATCCATCCCCCATGGTGTAAGGAAGCAGCAAGAAACTCTGGGTGTTTCTCAGCACATGGAGTCATACCCACGACATGCAAGAATTCTATGGCTATCCTTGTGGGAATGCCTATCTCTTTAAGATGATTGAAATCGCTACTGAGAATAAATAGGATGATGAATAGTTTGATGATTGCTTTAACTGCCATACACGGTCATCAAGAAGAAGTTATACCGGTATGCAGAGTTATCAATCCAAACTATGTCACAGCTAGCCTCTGAACTCAAACTAGTCTCCTGCTTGCAGTGGCTTCTGTCGGATGTGGCTCATCCGGGCTCCCCGTCCAGCGAGGACCTGGAAGGGTCAGAACATATGGGTCCCATGTGGGTCCGCGTGCGTACCGAACTCGTGGTGCGAGAGTAGAAGAGCTGAAACGACGATGATTCCGTTCCATATACTGCACTGAACATGTTTCGTTTTTTTCGCCGTTTAGACCCACTGTGAGAGCAGCACTTGGCTAAAAACAAAGCTCACAATCAAACACATCACAATTCAGCCGTCGCATGTCAGACAACACCACACTGCGTGGACACATTTAGAAAAAGAACTCCTGCTTCTCTAGTCTCTCTCCAGACGTCACACCACTTGGGAGCCACACCTGTCCGCTCCCAGGCGAACACATCATGCCCACCATCAAAGCCATGGCGGGACAAATGACCCAATGCACTCGGAGAGGTTGATTGGAACCTGGACCCTGTCACGCCCTGTTGGTCCCAAACTGTTGTGGTTTAATTACCTGTCATCTCGAATCTTTGGTGCAACAGGATCTTTTAATTACCTGTCACTTTGGTGCAACAGGATCTTTGCCTCATGTTTTTCTTCCGTTCGGAAGACCAAGGCTGTGGCACGGCTATGGTGGCAGGACTGTGATCTCCCCTGCTCCCACTATGACCCGCCACTATGATCTCCCGCAAGTTGTCTGATGTTCGTGCAGTTTCCATATCTTTTTGAGTGTCTGAGCTGATGTTCGTGGTGCTCAATGATGGCCAAAGGTCAAGTCTGAGGCTGGAAATGACATGGTTTAGGGCAACTCCATGGTCGTTGCAACATGGTGTACCTTAATTCATGAGCAAATCGAGACTTGCCATCTCGGCAGTTCTCACCAATCGACTTATCGATCCCCCCAGAAAAAGGGACGAACAAACAGAATGTGGGTGTATTTTACTAAGGATACCCTGGCGCAATGGGTAGATTGGTCTACTTTCCCTCTTCCAGGTCGAACTAGGTCTCCCAAACACACCCACGTCGACTCTTCCAATCTCGCCTTCAACCAGTCGACTCGCGCTTCGCACGCGAGCGCCTCAAGAGTTCCAGGAAGGTCCTCGCAGTGGGCTGTATGACGGGCAAAATGCTGGTCTCGAGGAAGTCGCGGGCCTGCCTTAGGAGGCGAAAGTGGGCTTTCACCAGGTTGAGGGGAGGGGGTTGACATGTTCACATGATGATGCTTGACGACCAAAATCACTCAAATGCCTGACCAACTCAAAGAACCGCACCACTGGGTGACAGTAGAAATTTGTAGAAATATATATATATATTATATTATAGAGAGATATATAGAGAGAGATAGAATTATAGAGACTTCAATCTAGCAAAGGTGTGTTGATCTTCCTCAACCAGTCTTTACGGCTCTTAACATGCAAACAAGTGAAAGAAAAAGTAAACAACAGTCAACAAAAGGCGGCACATGGTCGTGTGCACATCTTAAGGGAGAATTGTGTGGTTCAGTGTTTTGCACTCGTGTGCATGTTGGTTGCTCGGCCTACATGGCGCGTCTCTTCACTAAATATGTTATATATATATATGTATCGATCAGAATTACTTAGTTAATTACTTCATTGCATAGTTATGCATGCTGGTGCACTCTTAGCACACAGTATATAACTGCATCATTACTAAGATTATTAAGACACAAATACAGATACATATAGCGCATATAGTATTTATTTAGACACCAATTGCCCTTCCTTCAGGTTCAACACAGGGCCTTGGATCAAACCCGGGTTTCTCCCCTCCTATGCCTGCCACTGCAACAAACATGTCACACCCCCACTGTCTGATGCAGTCGGCTTAAATCCCAAGTGCAGGTGTTGGATTTCACCTGCTTCAAACGTTCTCCAGCACTCTTTCACTGTGGAAGAGGTTTTTCCCATGAGATGGCGGAGTTTCTGGGCCCCTCCGCGAATATTGCGAACGGCTTGAGGACGCAAAGCGCCACATCACCTGCCGTTCGTTCTCGCGAAATCGCCCCCGCCTAAACCGGGCTGCCCAGTCCCGTCAGCGAAAGAGTGGGGGTTGCAGTTACCACAGTTGATGGTCACCAGTTCTTGGACCAAGCCGCAAACAGATCAGGCGCCAACCCTGGTTGCCTTGGATTTTTCTTACAGTCACTCGGAGCAACAGGATTCGTGGATTTTCCCGGGAACAGTGCGCATCGCTGGGGTTTCTTTTTACAGCGCACGGCTGGGCACACATGGAGTCGTCCAATTCATCGATTGTGATGAGATGCCACGACTTCCGCTTCAAGAGGACATTCGATTGACTCTACTCTAATTATTGAACAGCAAACAAAAAATGGTCATGGAAGTTTGAATGGATACATTGCTTTTTTTGACCTTACTTTATCTTACTTCTAGATTTGGCATGGTGGTATCCCGCTCTCTACTTTCCTAGTTGATCGTGCTCAACCAATTCTATGTAGCAAAGTGTATCAGTCCCAAATGTTCTACTGTCCAACGCCGCAATCATCAGCCTTGTTGAAGTCTTCAATCGTGGGAGTCTTTCCTGGCAACATTAAAACATGTCAAAGCAGCAAAGCATAAAACCAATCAACACAAAAATCACATTAAATCATCCAACCACGACCACAAATGTTCGCCCCTTTGAATCGTAGATATTGCCACAGTAACACATACAGTATCTAGAACTAGCTTGGGACGTGGGACACTCACGAGACCGAGTAGAAGGTTTCTGCTCACAAGGACCACAAGGAAACACAAATTAATGGTTTGTTCATGTTGTTCAGACTGCGGATGTCATGTTGGTTAGAGAAAATATGTTGGCTTCCTGTGAGCTCTACTACCTTCTTCATTGGAATATTGATAACCCAGCAGTCCAAACCGTCACGTCGGTAGAACCATGTAACTACGCAAAGCCCTAGTCATAGGAGCATCGTTGCTTGAATCGAATCGGCCGCTCCGCGAGCCAAGCTCGCTTGCATGGAGACCAGTCCCATGTGGGACCGTCCTTGTGATTTCATGGCATCCAAGGCATTCATGGCCTGCTTCACCTCGAGGCATTTTGACAAGTGGGTACGGGTCAAAAGCCAAGATCGCATGCTGAGTTGCTGCAAGACGTCAGGTTATTGACTGCTAATTCTTTTACATGGACATCTACCATACCAGGACAGGGTCCCAGGAACATAGCGTTCTGGCCAACGGCCCAATGACCACAAATGACGCAGAAACCAAAATAAGATCAGCCATGATCAGCCGTAGATGGCACATTCACCACTGGTGACCTAAAGATTTTCCCTTGAAACTGTCTTACTGGATGCGCAGTGGTTTCCGCAATCTACTCTGCTCATTCAATGTGCAGTCACAGGCTCAACAAATCAGAAGCAAAACTCAAATCAACTCTAAGTTACTAAGGTATCATGTAATTGTTGGCTTGCTGGGAATCCGTATTGGGCCACGCAAGTCGAAGAACCCGGCCACCTTGTCAGCATCTCCTGCCCCTCTTGGTCGGCCACCTTCGGTCCTGCAGTGCAAGCGGATACAGTAGCAGAACACAAGGTTTAAAGGGAAAAGCCAGGAAAAGCAAGCCTTGTCCAGTTATGATCATGACACGATGTTTCAAAATGGATGAACAAATATTGAAGGAAGAGAAATGGATTGGTCCGGTCATTGGTCGTGGGAGACCTCAGGACCTGCATGTTGCATTTTTGTGTGCGTGAGGGTGCCCCAATGGAGTACCACTATGTTCAAACAAACCTCTCAAAAAGAGGGAAACCAACTCGCCAAAGACACGCATTACATGTATAGAAGCGAACCTGCAAGGCTGTCCTCTGCTGTGGTGCATTCATCTCAGCATCCTTGCGGTCACAAAAACAGGAACGGATTACGAATCGTTAAGAATTGGTGGGGCCCCTCAACCTCTTCAGCAATGTGGACGGTCTTCGGCTTCTAGCAGTGTCATCTCAATACTCCTTCATCCGCATTCGGCCGCGAGCCGCTGTGGGACCGCACCTCGTCAGCTTCCATGGGCTCGGCGACGTTCACGGGGAAGCCTGCCGGATCGGTCAGAGCGTGAGGCACCGTGTGCCGGATCGGGTCGGTACCGAACAGGAGGAACCAGTGGCTGAGTAGAAAGGGGCATGTATAGAACGAAGAAAACACACACACACACATGTTGTGAACCCACCAACCAGTAGTTTGGACATCCAGAAACTGTAATTACCCCTCAAAAAAGTCATAAGAGTCCACAAAAACATGTCAGTGTAGAATGGGTATCCTCCAGACATGGGCCTCATCCTATATCATCCTTTTTGAAGAAAGGTCCAGTCACCCGGTCTCCTCATCCGGCCTTTCTGCTCCGCGAAGGCGAGCCAGTTCTGCACTTCCTCCTCCTCCCCCGCCTGAGAGACGTGGGGACCCAGGGGATCCACTGTGGCACGGCCCCCGCGCCCCTGCACCGCAGAAGACCCTGCGTTTGGTGGCAGCCGGGATGGACCAGCTAGATAAAAATAGAAGAAAACGGACCCAAACACTTTCCCTATGAACCAAAGTACAGTACTCGTTCAGCATTGATGTGTACTCGTTAAACTGGTCTTTTTGGGTTCGCAGGGTTATATATATATCATATTGACCAAACACTTGGGGCGATAATGAAGAAATATAATGATATTATATATATATATATATCCCTCACGGATGGAGGGCCTGCAATATAACTCGTCCAAAAGGCGTCAGGAAGACAAAGAATGCCACAAGTGTGGTTCATTTTTAAGTAAACATATTTTTCTTGAGTGAACAGTATAGAATCTTCGTCTTGGTGAAACATGAAACAACAAACATGATCTTCAAACTCTCGGCAAGAAACGTGGAAGTACCTGAGAAGAACAAATCCAGTTTGGAGTTCGGGAAATCAGTGCGGGTTTGGAACACTGCCACATTCCCACTGTTGGATGCTCCCCATGCAAGCCCAACATCCCACTTCCTCACTTCCTCATCCCACTTCCTCGCGGTATGTCACGTTCGAACGCCTGCTCCAGGCACCACAAGACCGGCTCCATCATTGCAGTCCAAGTGTCCCTGCACGTGTCTGTCTTGAAAACACTGGGGAAATGGGACGCAAGCTTCGCACTCCTGTCTTTCTTCTGTCTTCTTTCTGCCTTTTCCTTCAGCTTTCTTATTCGGTAGGGAGGATATTTGAGGCGCCGGACCTAGGGTCGACCTCCTCTGTGGTTGCTCTATGTTGCTCCTCTCTCCGTTGGATATTGTAACCATCCTTTTGTTTGGCATTTTGCCGGTTGTTCCTGTCCCTTTCGCACCTTTATCTGTCTTTCTTTTCAGTTGCTTGTTGTCTACTACTATATATGTACTTTGAATATTATATATATACTGTATATATGTATGTTTCGTTTGTCTTCGGTGCCCTTTCCACTTTTGTTTCTCATTTCTTTCTTCACTTTCCTCTTGGGAGGATATGGCCCTGAGGAGCATGATTGATGTTTGTTCTTCCTGTTGTTTCACTTTCTCACCGTCATTCGGTGCAAAATTTCCCTCAAAATCAGCACGCCCCTTCCCAACATCCCACTGCCAAACAACTAACTGATCAAATAATGGTTTGTACATCAACTATAAATGCGCCTCCGACACTCCCGGCGCCCCTCCCAAACTTGTGGCAACCTGCCGGGTGCAGCGCCTGGTGATTTTGGAGGTGTACATCTTGACCTTGATCGTGTCTAAAAACCTTAGGCGTGGAAGGTTCAAGTCAAGGTTGAAACGTGGTGTGCTGCACATGAGGGAATGATCAACTTCGAGCCAAAAGAACTTGTGGAACTCTAGATTGCTGAGTAACCCTTGGAGAGCGCTACAGTCTCTCGATGTCTATTTCATTCTATGTCCAGTCCACCCAATCTCAGCTTCAAGAATGGCGATCTTTCACTGCGGAAAGGATTGACACTGACACCGGAATTTAGGCAGAAAAATGGAAGCTGTTCAGGGGTAGAGGACATGGACACCCCGGCACAAGTACCTGGATTGCCCAAACTGATAGCTACCTCTATTTATCCACTTGTTTTCAGAAGTCGGCTGCGGCTAGTGATAAAGATCTTCTGACACTTCACTCGATACATGTTTGCCTTTACACATGCCGCGTGCGCAGCGGCTGATTCATGTCTTGGGAGGGCAAAAAGATCTGTCAGACGGGCGCGCTCGATGTTTTTTCGTGTAAAACAAGGGTTGCTCCTCTCACCTGGCTCTTGCTTCAGTTGGATCACCTGGCTTTCAGGACCGGGCTCTTTGGTGCTGGCGACATCTCCTGTCCTGGCATAGCCAGCAGCCAGAGCAGCGTAGATGCGAAACGAAGGCCTGGAGCGGCGAACGAGGTCAGACTGAGAGGCGAAGAAGCGAAGCACGGTGAAACACAGAATGGTATAGCGGATGATACATGGGAGCGATGTCAATTTTTTTGTGTCCAAAGGCCTCTAGTTTTCGTTGCGCGGTCAGAGTTCTCTCATTCACAGAATGGCATCACCGTCCTCTTGATGAGGAGAAGGGATTCGTCAATCTTGCGCCACTGGGTCATTAGAGTTCCAGCCAAGCAGCATTTCTATTGCCACTTGCCACTTATTATTATTGTGTGCATGTGTGCCGTGCCTCTGCAAACGATAAAGACCGTGGAACAACGCTCGTCACGAGCTCGGAGCTTTTGGAGGACATCAATCCATGTTGGCCACTGCGAAATCCCATGGTCCAAACCATCCCTCTGAAGTGAGAACCTGGATCGGACCTCCCCCTACGACATGAAGCATCATGACGCCATGGAGTTTGCGTTGAAATGCCACACCAAAGAACTGCTTCAACCACGCCAAGCGCCTGAACCAAAATCAGACCAGCTCTGCAACAGCAAGATCAAATGTGCAAAACTATCTGCGAGCTGCACTGCGTGTGCCCAAATATGCCGGGCCTCACACCTATCTCCAGCATCTGGTCTAGCCTCAGCCGCCATGTGACAAGCTGTCATGCGTTATGTGTGCGTCCACACCCCTTTCCTCTGATTCGAGAGGAGATTTAAAAAAGTATTTGGGACCTTCCAGTATTTCGAATGTCAGATTAACTTGCTGAATCCGGAGTCGGTGGAGGCGGTTGAGGCAACTTCCACGACTGCAAAGTAGTGGAGTCGTGATTCCCATCAGCAAAATCAACAGTTGGCGTTCGATTGTAAAGCTACATCGAACCGAGAACTGGTCGTTTGCAAGAAAGAACCAACCAGCGACCCAGCGAAAAACAAGAGCCTCTGAAGGTGGACTGCCCTCAGGTTTTGGGATGTTTTGGGGAGTACCGGGCTGCCATCACATGATCAGTGTCACAAATTGGCTTGGGAACGGCAGGAGTCTTCCTCACTGGTGTTCTATGCTGAACGTGTGTGACCAAAGGACCAGTGAGGCATCCTGTGGGGCCCACTGCGGTTTACTCCCTGGACTCCTCAATCATCTCAATCAGCCTTTCAATCCTCCAACTCCTCCAAGCTGGCGCATACTCCAATACACGTGCATCGTGTCATCGTGCCGTGTGAGCTAGCACTAGCTCAAAAACGCATGTGAATGCAAACGATGCATGGGAATCGACCGCGTGTCGACGGAATCGACCCCTGTCGGTGTCACACGACTCTTTTCAGCGCCCCCGACCAGTCTCTCGCCTTTTCCATCGCTCTTTGCCGCACCTCGTGACATCGCGTGTGACGCGATGACGCTCAAATCGCTGGTCGTCGAGGTCAATCTGAAACAGTTGGGTGTGTAAAACCAAGAGCTCCCGAAAAACACATCCATTGAAGGCGCAAACCCATTGGAACCAAGTGCCACTGAAAACGACCCTCCTCGTTTTGAGGCTGGGGTACTGCTTGGGGGTGTTGGTGTCAGATTGCAGTGGTGCTTGTTCTTGGTGACTTAACATTTTGACACTACGAGGAGGATACGCGAAGATTGTGCCCTTCTCCCGTGCTGTGCCGGACTCCTTTACTTCATTTATGATCCCCCTTTCTCGGCATACCAATTCAATAAAATGGATGCAATAACTGGAATCAGTTGAATGGCTCAAACTGCGCAAACCGTGTCGAGCACCGTCACGTGCTGTCACAACACCCAAAGTCAGTCTGGGCCCCGCTGCATGGCAATCAATGAGGTGGAAGAAGCTCCTATAGGCATGGGGTCAAAGCTCCCCCTGGCTGCCCCATCGGACAGTCTAATGGCCCCGACGGCGCAGTCTGGTACATCCACTGTCCTCCATTCCATGGAAGGTGGAAGCCCGACTCAAACAAGCCTGACTATATCTGTATCTGACCATACACTTCCATATGAGTTCCTGTTGGTCAGTGAATTCCACAGCCTGCCACATCTTCCTTCAAAACTCGTCGCCCTGATCGGGACCCGACGGATCTTTTCGTGTAGCCTGACCACGATGTGTCATGTGTTCATCAGGCGTCCACCCGCACAGGTCTCCTCTCGTCGGGATCGCGGCCAGCAGCTTGTAGCCTGGCAGCAGTCGTGGACAGCCAAAAAGGCAGCCATTTCAGATCATGTCAGGAAATACCTTCCCAAAATCTGATGTATGTATATAATATATAGAAGTATCAGAAAATGTGTACTTCCCAACCTCACCAAGTCCAAGTCAGGTTAGTTGCTGTTCTTTTGCAGATCCATGATTCAGAGCATTGAATACCATTGTCAAGCTTGATGTCGCACGTGTTTGCATCAAAAAAGCAAAACAGGGTCCATGGAGGCCCACTTCGCATACATCGGTTCAACAGAGGTCCGCACATAAGACACGGATAACTGTGCCAAACAACTGATGCCACTGCAGCACCATGTTCCCATCGCATACTGGCAGTAACCCTATCTTTTGCATTTCGTGCTGCCCTTCTTTCACCTGTCGACCGGCAGCGGGAGAGCTGTGCTCGACCCGATGTGAGCGGCGCTGAGCGGCCCCAGCGGCTCCAATGAGCCCCTATAGTTTGTGATACAAATGGACTATGACTACAAACTCTACACGTCCATCATTCATATCGTGTGAAAGAACTGGAACACATCCAAATCCTGCAAAGAACAATCTCCTGGATCTGGATCATCGGATAGGCCTTTGAAAAAGACCCATGCTCCATGCTGACCGTATGGACCGGGCTTCTCAGCGAGTCTACGGGCCATCATCTCCTCGGACCTGCGAGGTCCCGAGGGAGGCCGTCGTTTTGCTTTTGCCGCTTTGGTCCGATCATTACACCGGCGAGACAGCGGCGAGTTCTCTCCCGGCGAGTTCTCAACATCTGATCGGTGTGGGCCACTTTTAAGACTCACCGAACTTCAATGCAGCCTGGGATCATTTAGACAGCTCAGGCTGCATACATCCACATCTCTGCAAATCGTGCAAGGAGTTACATCACATCTGCAAGCTGTCCAAGAACTGTTTGCTATTCACTTCTCCACAGAGTCCATGCCTTCATGACATATCTCTCATGTCATCAGCTCTGACGAAGACCGTTGCCAGCTATCTGTGAACAGGGCAGCGTTGTCCGGGCTGAGTCATCCAAGGTCCTCCTGACAGGGCATTCACAAAAGGCTCAGATTCTCCAATTGAGGCAACAAATATCACGTGGAAGCATTCTAGTAAAACTGGCCTCGAAGGTATATTGTTGATGGAACAAGATTCTGAGATGATGCCTTCCTTTTTGACAGCGGCAAGGGCGTGTATACAATCTCAAGAGTTCCGGCTAAACTTATCCACTGTGGCTGCTATGAGAAGCAAAAACACCCTTGCTTTGGAATTTCTATACTAAACTAAACAGATCTAAACAGTAAACATAGGTCGCGGAACGACTCTTTGAATGCTTACTTGGGTCCTACTGTGCCAAGTACCAATAGGATCCAATAGGACTAATTACGATGGTCTACCGAATCTCTGACTCACAACCATGCAAGACTCATCAAAACTCTAGAAGAGAAAATGTGCAAGGGTAAAAACATGAGAACACATCCCCATTCTCCTCCCATCCCATGAGCTTCCCAGGGCCATAGACCTCTTCCAGCGCCCATCGAGCTCTCTGCGCCCCGCTTTCGCGCTCCAAGTGCCACGCCACGCACGGCGGCCATGCCGGCTCCGTGGACGTCGCCGCCGCGGAAAGCAGCCATGGAGAGCGTTGGCCGCTCGGAGCCCGGGCGAGCTCCGGCAGAAACCTGGGTGCTTCAACATCGCTGCGAGGGGGACGTGAGGCGGGCGAGGGACCAGCGGGGAAGGGCATGGAGGCTCCGGATTTCTGTGGCATTGATGGAAAGAGGTTGCAAAAGATGTTGAGGAACTGCGCAGGTTCAGGCAGAGAAGCTATATTATGTTCATGATTCGTGATTTATAGATGAGATGAAGATAATAGATGATAATAGCAACAAAGCACCTCTTGACGATTCCTGATGTTGTCTAGATTCTGTACTTCTTTCCAAATCCAAAAGCACTGCTGGGATCCACCGGTCCTTCCCCTCTCAGCTCAGCCACCAAGGTTGCAGCAAACGCAAGCGCCACGGCCAGGCCGCCGCCGCCAGGACGGCGCCCAGGCGCTGGAGGCGACTGGAGTCGAAGTCGTTGGCTTTCCGCACCGCCTCGCGCTGCGAGACCAAGAGCAAGAGCCGAAAGCCTCCAGCAGTGGAGACGTGAAAGTTCGGCTTTGGTGGCTGAGGTCCTCAGGATCTTTTTGGATGCTTAGTGGGTGGGGTAGGGATGTCATGGTGTGGCGTGAAGGCCGGGGGGAAGGCTTGTGTTTGGCGCCCATTGTTTCAATGTATTCTGTGAGAAAGGATGTCCATGTCTGTCCATTTCGCCCGAGAGACTCGCCTAAGGAACTCAAGTGCTCTGAGGATGCACGACGTGACAAGGCCAGCAATGATTGCGCCATGACCTCCACCTCTGGCGCGAGACACACGCTGAAAACAGGCAGGATCGCCTCTGCGACCCGCTGATGAGCTTGACGCACTGGAGATTCTTCAGCTCCTTCTCTTCCCTCTGCGGCTTCTCCTGTCGCGAGAGACAACTGGCGCCAACAACGCAGAAACGAGCCGTCCAAGCGACGAACGACCGGACTTCATCATCCCCTTCGCGAAAGCTCCCAACGCCCGGATCGCCCCGACCCCCAAGTCCGACGTCCTGACTCAAAGAGGTCCAAGGCCGTGAAGGCGTAGAACATGTGACACAAGTAAATCGGCGGAGCATCCAGTCTCTTCATGATCACACGACAGCACAAGCTTTGAAGATCCTGATGGGTCGGAAGATGGGTATGTTCATGTGATTTGCGGACGCCCAGGCAAAAAGACCTACTTCTTCACCCCATATTCTCATACAATTCAGACTTGGCTGCTTTGTGCCGACCGAACACCCTAGAATCATTTCCCAATAATAATCCTGCCACGGTGGTAAGTCTTCTTCAGGACAAATGATCAAGCCAAGCAAGATCTCTCCAACTTCATGAAAGGACAGTTCATCCTCATCTCTCCGGAGCATCTCCAAGGATGCAAGCCTGAGGCAAACAGCAGCTGCTCACAGCCGTGAGCTCCAAGACCCCAGCCCTCCCACGTCAGTAAAAGGACTCCGAATCTGCCATCATCCTAGAATGTGTTTGGGTTGGGAAACAAATATGAACCTTATATGTATATTATATATACACGCACGGGTAAGAGCCACCCACCTCTTTGCAGAACTTGTTGTTCTTTCACAGCGTGTTTGGCTCATTAATTATTGATTTGTTTGTTTCATGTATGTCTTGGGTGTTTTTGTTTTTAATGTAGTGGAGGTACCATATATATATATTACATTATCACAGTAGTGCGCAGTTCTGTGCTCTGAGTTGCTGCTGCTTCACTTTCTGCGACAAGTTGGCTAATCGGTTAATCATGTCAAAGGGGTGTGTAGATGGAACGTGGTGTGCAAATGAATTGACCAAACAAGGGACTGAGGGTTGAACTCCAGTGCCGGCTCCAACTGTGTGACAACTGAACCACAACCAAAAACAAACCAACGAATTCATACGTGTGCAATAAGGGTATTCGGTCAATAGTGACGTTCTTTTTGGGTTGAGTTGTCATTCAGCTTGCAAACAAATGGACAAAACTAAAAACAATCAAACATAATCAAGCAAATGGACAAGTGTGTAACACCTAGTATTGGGTACACCTTTGATTGCTTTGCTTGTGTTGCCAAATTAAGGGTTGGGCTCCAGTTCAATCTATGTCAGCCAGCTCAACCGAAAACAACAATAACAAAAAAAATACAAGCCTGTCGTTTAGACCAAATGAATCCATTGCATCATAATCCTAGGTTTGTTTTATTTGGTATTTATTTTTGTTGTCTTGTTGCCTTTCTTGGTGGCCATTCCTCTTTGCAATCACTCTGCTTGAACAGTGGCTCCTTCTTGGCTTGTCGACGCGTGGTAATTGATTGTTTATTATACTATAACTTAACTCTCCCTCTCATACATGTCTTGCTGAACTCTTTTTCTATATTTCAATGTGCTTTACGATTGCGCACCAAAAGAGGGAAGCTGCATGAATCTTCACAAGGCGCTTCTTACTGAAGTTGCTTGTCTTGTTTTGCTCTTTCTATTCTTAAATACCATTCTTAAGAGCATTCAGATCCCGAAAAGGGACACTTTACTACATAAGGCTTCCATTCAGGGGCTTTTGACCTCGTTCATCTACTGTACCGGTGTTGTATTCCATGTTCAACGCGTTAACGGCATGCTTGTCTGCGGTGTTTTTTCTTCTTTCGGGAGTTATCATCGTGTGATCAAGCACTCAATTTATCGATTGTTTTGTTGAGACTTTGGGACTCATTACTTGATATCCGAATTTGAATGTGAACGGGTCCTATTCGGCCCTTTGCATCCTTCGATCTTGGAATGTCATTACGAAATTCTAAAAAAACAGTACCTCTTACAGTAAAGAAGTGTACAGTTTGTGGAAATTGAAGTCCTTTGCTCTGGTGCTAGCAGCTAGCACACCACAGCCACTCACTGAATCTGTTCTTTGCGAAGAGGAAAGGGCTCTGTTTTGAAAACAAAGCTCCTAAAGGATCGTAAAAGATCCCCTAGATTGTGAACGTGTTGTTTTTGGTGAGAAGCATCACTCACTGAGAAGCAAGTCGTGGAAGCATCAATCGATTTGTCTTGCATGCTTCCTCTTCCCTCGTGGTTAGTCTGCCCCTTTGGCAGTTGCTCCTTGTCTTCAAGTCTTAGAGTCTTCATATTCAGCTTGTCTTGCTTGTATAAAATGCTTGACACCATCATGGTTGTTGTTTAATGTATGAGTGGCTGAAGCAATTGAGTACCGCATGTGCAAAGCAAAATAACCCCTAAGTGAATTTACACTCGTGCCAAAGCCCCATTTGCTTCAATCATCTCAAACATGCATACATTATAACATATACATATATATATTAATTCTATTTTATACTATTATATATATATACTTGTATATTATATACTATTATACAATATACAAATATGAAACTTGAGTCACCCCAACTGATCACGCTGCACGTCTTTTCCTAGGTCCTAGCTGATACTTGGGAAGACAAATATCTCATGCTTGTGGTCGAAGTGAGAAGGCAGCAGTGTTTACAGTGCGTGTTAAGGTTCAACCCTCTTAAGCCGTAACCCTCCAAAACGGGTAGTAGGGATACACAATAGAAATAACGATAAATACTATATTATGTCTTTGTAGTTTGAGCAGCTAATAAATGATGATATCTATCGCGTTTGCCAGCGTACAGAACTATTGGTTCAGCCATACAAAAGTGGCGCGAGACCTGCTTGAGATGCCTTCAACATTGGGTGATTTATATAGTTGCAACAGGCAACATTCCACTACTTGAGATTCAGAGAAGGGCACAAACTGCACGCCCGCCGGACTCCGTTACGCGCAACATTTGCGCACGTCGATGATCGAGAAGCTGGAAGAGATTCTGTAGAGATTTCTCCTGTGGGCCACCACGGCATGTGTGGGCATTCTGCCAACAAACAAGAGATGAAAAGAGAGATGGCTTGAAGCAACATGAAACGCAAGATAAATTGATTGTTAAAGGCAAAAAACATGTATGTTTACCTAGGATAGATAGATCATGCTAGTAGGAGATCTGAGGCATTTGGGATATGCCAATGTCTGCAAAAAAATGCAAATATACCTTTACCACTAGAGGTGCAGGATTTTGTCTGGACAAAGAATCTCGCCGCAATGGAGTCCGACCCTTTTGGCCCACCATCCATAACCATCCCACCGTGCAAAGGACTTGGAAATAGCTCACCAGGCTATAGTAGAAGTACTCATTTCCTAAGTAGATCATCCATCCCAAAGACCACCAACTGCTGGTTTCCGCCCGATGGACGTAGTCTTTTGCTGTGGGTTCAATATGTTCAATACCGAACCCAAGGCTGTGCGGTTTCTTCCGACTGAACGCCTTGCGGTTTCCCCGTTCCGCAGCGGCGAAGGCGCCGGTGTTTCGCGTCGCGTCCGCGTCGCGCCGCGTCCGCCGGACCGAATGCGCTCCTCGAAGCGTGCGGAACGGGGGGACCAAAAGAGCCGTCGAAGAGCGCTGCAGACGCGGCCAAGGGCTCGGAGGTTCCAAAGGTGTCCTGAAGATCCTCGAGTTTCAAGGCATCTGAAATCATGAGTCTGATGGAGGGACCCAGGGACCGTTGAGCTCTCCATAGTTGTGCTTAAGTCATGAACAATAACTTGGTCAGTTGAATACTTTTGCCGTCCCCCAAGGCTACGATGTTGACCGCCGCGACTTCCCATGTCCAGTGGTCCAGTGACGTGCAAAAAGGTCCAGCGGGGACGAGGATCGAATCTGCCCCTGAACCGCTTGCCAGAACGATGGGTCTTGAAAGCCAGCACGAGCTACTGCCGTGGTAATGATAGCGATGGAGTCGTAAGAAAGCCTTGCTGGGAAGGAAGACTCAAAGGCCTTTTAGGATAAGTGTGGAAAAATATCCGAGGTACTGTGCCGTAGTATTGGGAACTCTCTGGCACGTACAAGAAATGGGTACCTTGCACCACAATGCTGGGATCCTAGCGGCCCCAGTGGAAACACAAAAAGAACAAAGTCGGCCTACACATCCATTGGTTTTGACTCACAGCAACTGTGAGTCTTTCACCAGCAATACAGTATAATACAGTATATATAGATGTATTATAGTGAAATTATGTGGATCTATAAACGGGGTGTTTGGTGCAAAAAAATGTGGTGCTCTAGTAGAATGAACCGAAGAAGCACTGGCTTGTCAAAGGTTCTATGATCCTATCATCTTGTTCATTGAAACTTAAACAGCCCAAAGCAATCTGATTGGCTTTTCCTCTGGGAGCGGGCTAGGAGCAAGGACGCTACTACAGATGTATGCCAAGAAGAATCAGCAACACCAGACACATCAAAGGCCGAATGCCGACTGACGGAGGTAGTGTTCACTCTGTCCCATCTTGGCATGCATTGCTATTAGGTTGGAGGACAGCGCTACTAGTAACAAGAAGCATCCAGGAGTCACAAAGGGGTGGTGTTTTGTCTCATCCAGTGAGTGGATGTTCTGGGCACCCCTAACCTCCATGGATCGCACCTCTTTGTGGCTTACGACCGAGCAGCTCATGCATCGCTTCTTGAGACCAAGCAAGGGCTGTCGCAAAGAGCTCTGCGTGCACACATTTGACCTAGGGAAGGCCGGGCGCTTGAAAAGCACGTCAACACACAAGTAATTACTGTAACCACTGTAACCTGTTCTCAAACCTTCCCAACTGCTCCATCTCGACAAACCTGCCCAAATCCACACATCTTTGACTAATTGGAAGTTTCCAATTGTCAAGCACCTCCCAGTTCCCCCCACCTTTGCATAGGAGTCCAGGATGAAGGGCAACGACTCCACTGTTGCGATCATCGACTCCAGGTTCCGGCGCCCGCCGCACATCGCACGCGTCGCACGCGTTGCACGAAGCCGTCGCAGCACTTCGGGCGCGAAGGCCTCGAAGATCGGGAGATAGGAAGGGCGCCACAGGGCTGCGTAGGAGGCTAAGAAGCTCGAGAGTTGGAAGGTTTGAAGATGACCTCAAGATAGATCGGAAGGAGTTACATGGGCGGTGACTGGATGGGTGAGACGGTACTGGATGGGATGGGACGGGACGAACAGATTGTGATTCCCTCAAAGAAATAACATCTCCTGAACACAGGGAAAGAACACTTGAACTTCAAAGAGTACTGAAGGCGATCTCCTCAGTGACAATGATATAATCCACGAGCTGATGGTTCTCCACCACGGTTCTCCACGCGGAGTTTTCCGAACTTCCGAACTTCCAAAAACCCCAAAAAACACGGTTTTAAGGACCGATCCGATCCCATCCGAGAAGCGATGTCGTGTTTGCAAGCGAGGGATGGACTCTGAGAGGAGCTCCAAGGCCAGCTGATCCATCTGCAGTTGGGCATCGCTCTCCAAGGCGCTCTGGATCTTTTGACCTGGCTTCCCCCATGGTGAGACGGAGGACGAATGGCGTTGGACCTGGAGGCCGTGGAACCCATGCAGGTTCGCCGCAGTCGAAAAACGCAGGTGCTAAACCTCTGAGACATTGAAAGCCTTCACGACAACTTGGTAGTGGATCGATTGAAGGGGTCTCCCGGTCGCCCATCTGAGCCGTTTTCCGGACGCGCACAATGAGATGGTGGACATATTCCTGCCAAGCTGCGGTTGCGGGAGATGATCAAGGTGCGCAAAATCTTCAACAGTTTGGTCTCATTGCCATACCTCGAATCGATCAAACAGATTGATAAGAGATGATAAGAGGTGGCATATGGTGGCATGCGTGCCAATTACAGTAGATGTCCCGCAGAATTGCAAGAACAACCATCGATGGATTAGATTTGGTGACAATAGAAGTTGACAAAAAAGAGCCGGAACCAACCCATATTGATTGGATTCAATGGTCTACAAATTGGAAAAAAAAAAGAGTAAAACTTCAGAAGTTGAAACCCAAATACATGGCTTCATGCCTCACCTCGCTGGTAAACTTCAGAAGCAAGTCCTCCAGAACTCTGGTCTCTTCACTACTATCGCAGCCTTGAGCGCACTTGGAGAGCCAGTAATAGACAGCCACTTTCGCCTCACAAAAGGCTCCACACGTCTCAACCAAGAACGCATTTCGGATCCAACGGGGTGCATCCGTATATTGAACTGTCATGTATAATATAGATTAGATCTGAACCAACTGAACCAACCTCCAAAATACAACAGCTCCGTGCCAGGACCTTCCCAGTGACCTTTTTGGAGTGCCTGTGACCTTTTACAAGCCTAAGTGACCTCAAACCAGGGGATCAAAAGGTCACTGGGAAGATCCAGGTGACATATGATAATATATAATTATGTGTGATACATATTAGTGTACATGTGTGTGTGTCTCACTCTATATACTAGTGTTCCCTTTTTTCCGTTCTTCACCCACCTCAGTGTCCTGCCCCAAGACTTCCTGAGCACGTCTGATGAAGCTCTGCAGCTTCTGCTTCGGCAGCAGCGGTGACTGAAACCCCAATCCTCGCTGTTCCTCTTCGCCTGCCGCGACTGCAGCGTGCTTCAGGTCCTGCACCAAGTGCCATGCACCCGAACTGCCATGGCGAGTGGGCAGTAGCGGCAGACGAGGACGCGCGTTGCCGCGCTTCGTCAAGCGAAGGCGGGAGGCCACGCGGCCCAGGGCCATGGCCAAACCGCCAAGGCCATGTGCTTGCATGGGTCCCACTAAGTGGAGTCTACGCAATCTTTAGATCAACTTGTAATTGTGCGTGCAACCTGGACCCTGCCGCCAGCCTGCAACAGTGAGCTATGATTGTGAATCATACGAGGGCCTCAACTCGAAAAGTCATGAAATGCCTTCTCGATTGCTTCAAGGTTTGTTTGTGCAGCCCGAACCTGCTAGTGCACCCCTCCTGCAGGCCCTGGAGCCACTAAATAACCCAAAAAGGTTGACACGCCACCGTCCTGACAGAGTCTTCCATTCTCATCCCATCCTTGTCTTCCTCCCCCTGAGGTCCCAACTCCTAGTAACTAGTAGCTTTTTGTTACTAGTAGCTACTTGCTCCTAGTACTACGGCCAGGAGCCCCGTGCGTAGCGTTCTTGCTCCGTTCGTAGCGATGCCAGGAGCCCCTAGTAGTGATGCCCTTGCTCCTTAAAAAGACCCACCCCGAAGAACCAACCGCCACGCGCCGTGAGACGCGCCTCCGGAAGATCTCTTCGGCGCCCTCGGCCTCGCCGGCCTCCGCGAAGGCGCGGATCGCCTCGGAGTCGAGAAAGCGACAATGCCCGAAGTGCGGAGATCTGAGTCGTGCATGGGATCAGTGGCTGAATCTGAAGGTCGGCTGGATGCCGGACATGGCGAGTGGAGGGAAGGATGTCGAACAAATATCAAAGCCTCCACAGAAGATAATTAGGCTGCAGAAGGCCGTGACCCGAGTATACTCGTGGGGTGATACATTTAGTAAGACACCATCCTGTTACTTGTTATCTGGCATGGGTGTTTCTCAATGACAATGGAGGGTTCCTTTCTTTCCTTTAAGCTGATTTCAAGCGTTTCTTTGAGACAAACAAAAACAAAACACTAGTGCACACAAGTCGTACACAAACACACGCGAAAAATGAGACATATGTTTGTTACAATGATCAGGTCCATAGTCTACGCGCGCTTTTTCGCCGTGATTTGGCACCCCTGCCAGATTGTACATGCCCCTGTTGAGCTTAATGCCCTTCAAGACCATCCAGTCCAAGATCTGCCTCCGGCGAGTTCCGGGATGTCGGCTCCGGTCGGTGCTTTCATGTGCTTCCGAAGGCGGTCGAGAACAACGTGGCCACATCTGTTTCATCTGATCGTCCGTGGGAGGGGGCTAGCATGGGCTAGCTCAAGACTGAAAGACCAGCAAGATTCCCCTCCAACGGGATTCAAGGCTGCAAAAGGTTTGGACAAAAAAACCGACCAGTTCAACTGTGGATCTTCTGGTCCTCTGCTGAGGTTTGCCTTCGTCCACACTCAATGGTGCCATTGAATTTGCATTGTCCTTCTGTCTGAATGTTGCGGTGTTACAATGTTTAACACCATTTTCGGGGCGTGGCGGGGGCAATGGACTTCGGGTTATTGCTAGGTGTCTCTGGCAACAGATTGAAAGGAACGGCATAATGGTCTACTTCACCACCAGATCCAGTTGCCATGTCTAAATCAATTCGTTCGGTCTACTGCCGCACCCTCCATCCATTCACCATCCACTCAAAAGCCATTTCACGACATCGCTCTCCTTCACCAAAACCACAAGGTCCTCCATCATCCCAAAAATCAAACAAATACAAACCAAAAACAAGCTGGACTTGTCCAAGGTCCTCAACCATCCCTTTCCTCCCAGAATCCTTCCTTCCCCCCCCCGCACCTGACAGCCACCGGGTCCCCCTCTCGGAGGCTTCGGAGCATCAAGGCTTGATACACCTCGCGGTCCGGACCTCGGACCGATGCCGATGGCGGGCGGGGCTCGGCATGGCTCGCCCGGTTGGTGTGGTGCCACTGTGGGAGTCGCAGGTCGCACATGAAAGGGGGTCTGGACAATGTGGGGCTCTGTGGACTCTTGTGGATGGATTGAAGATTGAAGAACCACTAAAACAACTAAAACCACTAAAACTCTCAAGTCAAAGGTATCCATCCTTTTGGAATCCGCCAGCGTGCGCGGCCGCGGGCGGCGTATCGTTAGAACGATACAATAGGACTTGTAGTAGAATAAGTAGAACTCCCAAAGAGGTTGAGTCGAGAAAAAGAGTATTGAACATGATCTTTAAACAATGATTTAAACATGATTTACAGTAAATATTACAAACAGTCACATGGTTTCTGCTGCTATCTTTCTAAAGTGGCTTGAGGACCCAAGGCTGATGTTTCTATCATGGGAGCATTTGGAAGGTCCAAAGTTAGATCCCAGGTTCCTCACGAGCTGCACTTTGGCTCAATTGGGGCAGGCAGTGCGGCAGTTCTTCAAGGGCAAGAAGGACGTCTCTGAGTCTACAGGAAGGAACATTTGGGGGAATCCAAGCTACTAGTCTATTGGACGATTGGTCCGGATTCTGGTCCCGTAGGCAAACCCTTCGCCCTTTTAGATCATAGCTTTCGCTGGGCCCCTGAGTGCGCCACTTAGGCCACTCTTGGTCATCTTGCTGAACCACTGTTCCCCCGCCTCCTGGCTGCGGACTGGCGGGCCCGTCGGGCCCTGGAATCCGAAAAGCAACTAAAAACGGCAATTGGCGACAAGACTCTGTCACATCGCCAAAAATAGAAGCACTGGGAGTTCCCTGTGAGGGAGTGGCAACTCATGCCTCAAATTGCCTCGACATCTTAGCACGCAGGAGGCAAATGTTTCCCAGTTCTACCAAATCCGCGTACGTACTAGATCTCTGATTAAACAAAAACACAACATGTGCCACTTTAGAACTGGTCGCGCGGCAGCCCCGTGCCGCAGCCCTTACACCGTAGAGGACCCGTGGACGGTGACCGAACAAAGGATCCGCGGGTATGGCCTTTGCATTACGTTCATAGCTGGTTACATTCGTAGCAATTGATGCTACTTACGTTCGTAATGCCCTTTGTGACGTTCGTAGCGATGCCTTGTTCCTACAAATAAGTAGATTCTTGTTACTATCTTTCCTCTACTCCAGATTCTTGTTGTGGGGATGATCTAGTATGATGCCACTACTTCCACCAGCATGAGATATTTGGACGTCTTTCCACGCAAACTCACCCAAAATTGGGCCAGTGGAAAAAACACGAAACAGGAACTAAATGGCACTCTGTGTGTGTTCAAACACGTGCGGATTGCTCTGTATGGCCTTTGAACACTACTTAAAACAGTACTGGCTCCCCCCAAAAAAACCTCTGTTGATTCACCTCCACTTCTCCCCCACTCCTTCGCACGCGACTCCGAACTCGCGGCGTCGTCGCGTCGGACCCACGCCGCGCGTGGCGCACGTTTTGGCCGCTCTTAGCGGCAGCGGAGATCAGCAGGGCATAGGTTTCCTGAAACCAACGGAGGGCCGTGACAATCAGTGAGGATCAATGTGTGTTGGTAAAATTGAAGATATATGGGTGAATCAAAGCAAACACATGGTTTGTCATGCTGATATGAGTGGCAAGAAACTGGTGAAACATGGTAGAACCAGTGCGTTTAGAAGCGCAACAACCCAATGGTGAAGAGTTCTGCCAATGAAAGTTCCACCAATCACTAACCTTGGTGTCTACCACATGGGGCATGTTCTGGATCAACAGTTGGGAAAGTATTGAATTGAATATTACCCTGTCTTGGTCTCCGGAGGTTGGCCAATACGACAGCGGGAAATCAGGAGAATCCCTTATAGCCCGAAAAACCAAGAACACAATGATTAAATGCAAAGGACAACTCTAGGTTGGACATGGTTAGACATGGTTGGACTCCGACTCTGCAAGAAGAACGCTGCATGCTCCAAAGACATGGTTTGTATAAAATAAAATACAGTATATAATGTATTCATATTTATATTCCAATTTGTTTTTCTAGGGGTCCCCAACTTGGGGCCAGATTCTTCACACAAACCTAGACACTTAAACCGTGGATACCCGTGCTTCAACCTAGCAAGGGCTTGGGGAACTCGTAGCTCCCTCCAAATCGCTTCCTCCTGAGCAACAGTGACTGACACACACTTGGCCTGGTGGAGAAACACGACTTTCCCAACTTCTGGAGAAACATCAAAAGAACCTGCCCCACTCGGCGGCCGAAGGCCTCGTTCGGGGGGCAACCCGCATCCTGCATCCTGACATCACGGTTTCATGAAGGAATTCGTCTGAACGCACTGTGCGGCTTTTAGGGATCTGTCAGACTTTGATGAATCCATGAAATGAAAAATGATGAAAATAGTGTTCACAAGTCCTCATGGACAAAAATACGACTCGTGGTTTTCGATGAAGTTCATGAGTTCATTCCCTCCTTCCATCGAAGTTCCCACGCGTCAATTGGGTCGTCACGGCGTCACGATGACTGCTGACTGCTGAATCCAATTCTCTCCGGTCTACGGGGTTGCATGAGACAGCCTTAGCTGCACGAATGATGTGAATCCGTTGTTGGATATCGTATTGTTGGAGTCACTCCATAGTATTGCCACATGTTTCATATAGTGTTTGTGTAGCTTACATACCATCCATGACGACAAATCCATTCCAAACCTAAACATGCCCCAAAAAGCTCTCGTTTTTTGAGCATCTTCCAGCTCTCAGCCCTGTCCTCCACTCTCCATCCACTCCCAAACTGGTGCCTCTCATACCACTCTTCGACCAAGGGAAGTCTCTTCTTGCCCTTGACTTCGCTCAGGGAGCGCAGCACCAAACTGAGCCGCAAAGCTTCGCTCGGGAGCTCGACAGATCCACCGAAACGAGAAGAGCCATCCGTTCGAACACAGAAAGGCGTGGATCCGTGCGGTTTTTGGATCCATGCGGTTTTGGGATATCACAGCTTTCAGGTTCGGTGTGTCAAAGACTCCCAAAGAAACGTTTGTCATATCTGATCATGTAAACAGGTATATTGAATGCTTTTGAGGGGTGAAATCAGCGGTGACAGTCCCCGGTGGGAAAGGGGGGCCGAGGGCAAATGCTGTTAAGGATTTGTTGTTGACTTCGCCATGCCGAACGAGCCTCATGGTCTCATTTTTGCCCAACTATCCGCCTATCCGCTCAATACACCCCCACATTTAAATTGATTCGGATCTGCATCATTCGGGTATGACATCACAATGTGACGGTATGGGGTATGAGAAAACAGAGATAGACAAACCTCCAGCTGATTTGACCTCCCAAGGTGAGCCAAATAGACAACAAGGGATCTTCGGAGTTCGTTTGGACCCAAATCGATTCTGCCGAACTCAGTTGACAGAACGCGTTCCCGACTCAGTCTGGCACTTGAAGCTGTCGGTACTGGGCGGAACACCCTTCTCGTCCATCTTCTGGTGCCAAAATGTGGTCTGGCATGGCGGGTTGGACAAGTTTTTTTCCGCTTTTTTAGATTGGAAAAAGCACAGAAAAAACACTCATCGAAACGATCAATGCCCCGGAAGAACGAAAGCGTGACCCGAAACGGCACCACCAAGCGTTCGACGGACGGCAGCGGGACCCGAAGCGGGCGTTCTTCGGGCTGCTCCAAACTTTTGCAGCTCTGTTGCATCGGCTCTTGCTACCAGGATATACCAAGCTGCAAGACTTGGAAAACCATCCGTACAGTACAGTAGATTGAAAAGTACAGTAGATTGAAAAAACATGCACCGACTTCAACCCAAGAGAGTCACCGATTGACCACGAGAGTCTCTTTCATCGGAACCCGATCGCCTGGCGATCATCGTACCTAGCGATGAGAGGTCCCAGATAGTCCGGAGAACTTCCAAGGATCCCTAGAAGCTGAGTGACCTGTTGTCCTGTTGTGATAAACCGAATGCCATGATTCGTTTGAGATAATCTGGGTATTTGGAACACGCTGGAACGATGTGTGAAGGCATCACCAAGCATACAAAGGTCCCGAATGATGCCGAAGGATCGTTCAAATTTCAAACGAATGAAACTTATCAAATTATATTAACAATAGAAATATGTTCATTCAGCTATTGAAAAGTTGTTAATATACTGCGTAAATAGTCTATTAGTTTTATCATATCTCTACAATACTTAAACTAACAATGCATTCAATATATAGTATTGTGGTTTTGACCCTTTGAAACTTAAATTAGTCACATTAATTAAACAATATATATATATGTATAAATACATTAAGTAAATTATGCAGAAAGCGTTCTTGAAACAAGTCAATATTCTCAAATCTATATTTAAACCTACTCCATGTACTCATGATAGACTAAGTCTAATGATCAATGCGTCGGTCGTAGTCATCATGAAGGCGACAGACTCGTTAAAGCCCTTTGACGTAAGGAGTCTGTCTTCTTAATCATCAAGTCGCCGTCACCAATGCCATGATGACGACTTGACTTAGACGTCATGCCAAACCAACATCAATGACAGTCGACTGACAAATAAGACTAAATCAATAACGACGTCAAGGACTCAACCTGACGATCGATGTCAAGTCATTCAAGACTAAGGATGATGATGAACGTCATCAATGAGACCGATCATGGTCGTCTTGAGTCAGTCGCAGTAGCCATGGCAATCCTTGATTTTTTGCTGGTCCGTCGTCGTCATCCGTAGTCGTCATGAGTCATGTAGTCGTCATGTAGGCAATTGTAGGTAGTTCATGGTTATTCTATGTAAATGTCGTAGCACTGTGAAGTGATTTAGCTTCGCCATGCTTCGCCCACAATCAGTGGGAAGGGGACCGGCCCTACGTGTGCTTCATGCACCCAGTGCAATTCGACATGCGTGCTCCAAAACCCTGAGGCCTCATCAGCATCATGTAGGTCTCGCTATTCGTAGAGGTGCCATTTGTCTCCATCCACTCAACCCATTGCCTCTTCAGCATGCATCCAAACAACAGCATCTTGCACTGAGAAACTGCGCCCGACGACCCTACATCATGTCCGAAACCCGACGACCCCTTTGCTACTTGTCCAAAAGGATCTATTTAAGGCACACAGTGCGGCACAGACACGTTCCAACATGTTCCAACAGGGCACTTTTGCGATGTTTGCGCTGATTGTCGCGGCTTCTTTTGCGCTTCTTTCGCTGCCGCCAGTTGTGGCATCTCATGCAAGTGGTGATACCAGGCCATTCGGGCCGTTTCAGGCCAAGGGAAATCACCAGTCCAAGAAAGGGTCCTGAGAGGCGGACACCGGTGGAGGCAACTCTTTGGAGTCAGGGATGTCCTCATAGTTGGAGGTGTCGTTCTCATCCTTCATGTTGGGCTTGTAGGGTGCAGGAACCTCGAAGTTCTCCAACTTGGCCAGCTCATAGGACTCAAACCACTTGTGCTTGAGAATATCCGCCGAGCCATCTTTCAAGTTCCCGAAGCGCTTGCTCAGGTCAGCCACCAAGAGCTTCTTGACCAGAGCCTTGGCGTTCTTGTCGAAATACTTGGGGAAGTAGACCTTTCCTGCCAGGATCTTCTGGTAAATCCCCATGGGGTCTTCATCACAGAAGGGAGGCTGCCCGCAGATCATCTCATAGATCAGAATGCCCAAAGTCCACCAGTCAACCGGTTTGCCGTGGCCTTTGTTCAGCAAGACCTCGGGTGCTATGTACTCTGGGGTGCCACAAAGGGTGTAGGTTCGGGTGCCGGGCTCGATGATCTTCGCGAAGCCGAAATCCGTCAACTTGGAGTAGCCTCAGTCGTGGGATGTTCGTCTGGAAAAACATCTGAACAGTATGTAATTATCTAAGTCTGATTGCTTCGAAGTCTTATCTCTGAGTGGCCATTGGAAAGGAGGAGGATGTTCTCCGGTTTCAAGTCGCGATGAATGATGTTCTTGCTGTGGATGTGTGCGAAGGCTGCTGCGGTTTGCAAGGCATAGAATTTGGACTGCTCATCGGAGAACTTGCGTGCACGGCGCAGATGTGTAAAGAGCTCCCCACCGTTGATCGATTCCATGACGATGTAAACGAAGTGTTCATCTTTGCAATAGCCTTGACTGGCCATAACTGGACCCTGAGAAATACGTGGCAGAAATACATGGTGGAAACAGCATGTCAATTATTGTCCACTTGATCAACTGTCTAGCGGTGCTATTACCATTCCAAAAAATGAAAAAAAAAAAAACATGGTAAAAGCAAACAGCCTCAATTGTAAAAGTAGTCTTTGTCTAAAGCCAGTATGGACAAGTAGCCCATCATGTTCACAATGAAAGGGTAAGAAATCTGCGCCATGAGCCTCTTCTCGTTGTTGATATGATCCACCTGCTTTAGCTTGATGATCTCGTGCTTCTTCATGAACTTCACTGCATAATACTTCCCATCCTCATAGCCACTGGTAAGCTGGTTCAAGGGAAAAAAAAAGCTGCTAAAACAGAATTCCCCCGAGTCTTCAGTACCAGGAATATCCAAAATTACAGCCTTGAAAACATATGAAACATCAAACAGATCTGGTTGGCGGTTTCAACCTACCTGAAATGTACTGGCCACCGGGCATTATCATCTCAACCAAAGACTTGGGAATGGCTGAGGATCTGGTTTGTACTTTGCAAACTTCACCCGCCCGAAGGAGCCGCAACCAAGGGTGCGGCCCATCTCGAAATCGGAAAGCTGCACTTGCTGCGCCATTGCTGCTTCCTTCTCGGCGTTGGGGTGTGCTGCAATGGTTGCGCCGGGAACCGCAATAAACTTTGCTAAGCCGGCACAGCTGCCAAAAGCAGGAGCTCGAATCATCACTGAAACAAGTATATAGTAAATATATGACAATCGCGATCTTCTCAATCACCAAAAGCTAGCCATGGGCCATGGGTACATGAAATGTTTTTCCCAGTGTTCCTTTCTGCACATCCTGTGAAACCTATCAAATCAGCAATCGAGAGAACAACGTCCTACCTCCATGCGACTGGAGAAAGCTCTGTGGTGTGTTCCAGCCTGGCTTCCTCTGGCTTGTTCTCCAGGAAGTAGGCCCGCATGACCTGGAGGAAGAAAAGGGACACGTCCACATGCCAAATTCTGTAGATTCAGTGTACATTGCAAAATGTATCACCGAGACAAAGGAATAGCAACCACCAGTGCAATGTACAATACAAAGTTACTGACACCAGCCCTTGCTATAGCTTGGGCACTAGCTTGGGGCATCAATGTTGACTTGATGTCATTGCGAGTTGGCAACTCTCTGAAGCAAAACAACTGGAGACATCGAAGGAAACACATTGAACAGTGTCCCCCCATCTGACCCCATCAGACCCATTCAAGCACTTACAGTGCTTGACCCATTCGGGAAGAGTTTTCGTCACCGACCGGGACGACCCAGAACGACCGGTGGCATCGCACCGGTCCGGTTCTGGGATCCCCGACGTTGTGATAGACCGAGGCATTCATGTCCTTCTTCAGCTCATTTGCTTTTGCCGCCTGAGTTGTCCCAGATCGGGCAAAATGGTTGGTGATGTTGGTGAATCGCCTGTCTCCTTTTGGTGAATCGCCTTTCTTCGAAAGTCTTCGTTTCTGCTTCATAGGTCTTTGGAGGGGTCCAGGACGGTTTTCCCATGCAAGAGTATACCAAGCATGGCTCCCTCGTGGTATACCCACACTTCGGCTGCTCGGAGCCGTTTCGGGGTCGATCCAACCACCTGCCCTGCATGGCACAAACCTCGCGTGGGCGACGATGCGGGGTAACATCTTCCGCTGCGGTGTTATTGAAGGTTGTTGATCATTGGTGGGTCGTTTCACAGGATCAACATGCATCAACTGGTGATTCACTTCACTTCCCGAACAAAAACACTGTGAGTGCTGAAACGTGCAGTGTTAGTCTCAGCCCCGCGTACGGCACAAATGCCCCGCGTTCGCCGCGTTGGGCGCGTGTTTCTAGCGCGAAGAAGACGCGGGTGCCGCACCCATCCAGCGATGTAGTCCGCTGAATTTTGGCTGGTCTGAAGCAAGCTCTTCACAACCTGCAGTGAAACATGTGCGGAAGTGTCGGACAAAGCAGAAGAGCACAAACGCAAAAGCCGACCAAGCAAAGGGATCATTGGTTTGTGTTCAGACGGGGTGGAATTGTATGGCACAAATATATAGTTATATATATATACACAGTATTTATAACATAATATAGTATAATATATATAGTATATATTAATATTTCACCTCAAAATACCTCTGTGAGTCCTTGCTGTTAGTAGCTTTGATTGATCTTCTGTCGTGTATCAATGGTGCGATCTGTTTGCTCTCCCCTGCTTTGGCACCAAAAACCGGCCATCTGCACTGGCGCGGACAGACAGCATGACCTTTTCTCAATGGTTTCTCCCTCGCTCGGGCTCACACCAACTCAAACTGCAAAGTCTTCGATGAAAGAAGACCTGCCAAGTGGCATCTGTGCGAAGCGGTGCTTGGCTTGATGTTCTATTTCAGCAAGGAAAGGATCATTCAGCAGCTCATTTGATCAAGTAGTACAAAAAAAAGTTATCTGCTAGCAACTTGCCAGGGGCTTCGGTGAAAGCACTTGATGCGGGGTACACCAACTGCTTCGGCTTCAAGTTCATACACCGTGTTCTACACGCTTCAATTGCCGAACAAACAACATGTCGCATCGCCTCTGAGGATGCTGGACGTTGGTGCGGCATCCATGTCCAAGTTCGGTTGTGAACGACACGGGATGCTCACTCTCAAAGATCTCGTAAAGTTCGTGTGGAACATCGTTAACTACATTAATCCTTAGCAAAACTGGAAGCCGCTTATATCAGCAAGATTGTAGCCAAAACCATCCAAATCAATAACGTTTCTCTGTCTGGACAAACCCTCTTTTTGCCTGCTTGCTCCATTCTGCGTCCCCATTGCTTGGCCTTCTTGGGCTGTCCGGCCTAGGTTCGGGCTGTCCAGGGAGGACCCATCCCTCGGGGTATGGACCAAACCATGTAGACTGTTGATTCATAAAACATGTTTATTTAAAAAAGATATTAGACATAAAGGTGGTACAATCCAAATGGGTTGGTTTTATCAAATTAAAGATTTTACCCTTTTAAATGGGGAGCCTTCTCCTTGTCCAATATACATCCATCAATACTGCGTTTCTTCATGAGTTCTATGGCAGACGCCCCTCGCAGGAAGTGGAAACATGGAAACCATTCAGCATTGAGTTCCGTCAACCACGCAAACCACTGATCAACCGGGTATCTCTAGACCCACGGTCCTCACGGCGCAAAACCCAGTGTTTTCTCAGTCCTTTCCACGTGTCCACATCTCGTCACGTGACTCCTTGATTGATCTTGTTGTCCTTTCATGGGACCTGGTGCCTTCACCCAGCACCCGGAGAAGAATCGATTCTGAAAACATCAGCGCCCGTCACTGAGTCGCGGGCCTTGGCCATGGTCTTGATGATCAAGTTGTAAGACACGGCATTCGCCGTGACATTGGCCTCCCATGGGTCCCGAGGACCGCGGCGCTACGCCGCAAAACGAGACGAGACGAGCATGGCAAGCCTGTGTCCATGGCAAGTATGTAAGCATGGAAAACGTTTGAGTGGCACCGAGTCAGTTCTTACATCTTCTCACAAGCTGGAGGACACATCCAAGTTCCAGGGTCGCGTGATTCTCTCCAGCAAAAAACATACATCTCTCGACAGTGTCGCACCTGCGTCATCCTGTCAAACCATTTCTCCGCTGAGCGATAGTCGATCGCACTTTCACAAGCCTGGCCAGGAACAATTCCATGACCAGCTTAACAGCTCCTTGAATACCCTGTGAAGCACGAGTCCAAAATCTTAGACTCCGAAGCGAGTCAACAACCGATGCAGACAAACGTGGCAAAGCGTGCTTTTGAATGCTTTTGACCTGTTCGATCTCTGCATTCTCGCGTGTTGAGGCTCTACCGTAGACTTTCTGGTCGTTTCCATAGTTTGCAGGATCCTGTTCAAAGGAAACACAAAATAACACCCAGACACTCCATGTATGCCACTGCATGACCTTCGCTTCAAAGCAGCGCCGCGCAATTCTCCAAAGGTCGGTTCCCTTAATGTGGACCTTTGATTTATAAACGACCCTAGAATAATGTCACTTTTTTTCCTGCACAGATTTATAAAGGCCCCCAGAATAATGTTTTTTTTTGGGAGGGGTAGTTGTAGTGGGATATTTTTTATTGTTATAGTTTTCTTTTTCCCTTTTGAGTTTGCTGGGATTTGCTTATCTTACAGGCTTTTGGATGGAGATTTCTATTAAACAGTTGAAGATTTTCACTGAGATTTGATGCTTTTGGAGGCTTTTGGATGGAGAATTCTATTAAACAGTTGAAGATTTCCATTGAGATTTGATGCTTTCTTTATAACATCCCTTATTCAAAAGTATTGAAAAACAAAAAAGAGCAATCAAGCAAAGGGGGTAGTCCAGCAAGCAGCTTTCTGACATTATTTAGGGGGGGCCCTAGAATAATGTCTAGAGATTTGAGGCTTTGAATGTGTGTTTCCTTTTCTTTGCCTTTTGATTTGCTTTACTCTCCCTCTATTCCTTATTTACTTTTCCTAAGCTCTTTAGTTGTGAAGCT